TAAATTATATCATCATATTTTAGCCAGGCTGTCACTGGAAAGTTCAAAACAACTGCAAACAGAGACATATGGACATAAAACTATATCAATTTATTAGGTAATATATATTTGGAAACATATGTATAATGTGTGAGTACTTGTTGTTTAGGCTTATTGCTGCAAATAAATTTTGAAAATCTCTTGTTGAAGTTGGTTGAATATTTTTAAAAATATTTTTTATCACTAATCTTAATATAAAATTTGTAAATTATGTTAAACTTTAAGTTTATAAATTTGAAACTGAAAAGGCTCATGACTGTTTTAGATTTTGTACGCCAATTAGCACGCTTTTTCTCAAAACAAATAAAGTAAAATAAAAGTTTAAGTATATGTCTGAAATGTAGAATAAATCATTATATTTTAATAAGAGATAATAAACATTAATTCATTTAAGCATAAGAATGTTAATGAAGCGTAAAATAAAATGCAAAATAAAATGTTGTTAAATAATAAATATAAAAAACAAAATAATAAAATAAATCTAACTTCACGGCTGTATGTTTGTATAAATGTGAAACTATTGCTCTAAGCTTTCTACTACCACAAAAAACATAAAGAAATTCACAGGAACAAAATTTCACAAAAAAATTAATTGGCGTAAAGTAAGTTGTAAAATAAWACAAGCTACAACTAAATATCATAAATCTCTAGCACTAGCTCAGCAAAACAATTTTAACGAGTAAAACAAAAATTTCAAACTAGCTATTTGTACGACATTTTCTGCAGGCTTGTATTTTATTAAAAAATTTCTTAAACCTGAAAGACTTAAAATACCTGCTCAAATTAAGTACTGCAACAACAAACAACTAGTTATGTATGTATGTTAAGTTACTAAGATATCATATAGCAATTATATGTAAAYGAAAAGTAAAGTCTATTGAAGAGCAAAGTTCAAATTACTGTTTGAAAAAATAAAATAAAAAATATCAATTAAAAGAAATCAAGAATTGAATTCAAAGCAGAAACCGTAATCAAAACGCAGTTTCTGTAAATTCAATGTTTTAAGCCGAATAAGCAAAAATCAAACAACTTTTCCAATGCCAACAAAACTCAGCTGGACTGAAACGCATACAATTATCGAACAAGAATATAATRCATATGCATATTCAGTGTAGTAAATACAACAAAAACGAACAAACCGCAAATAGTTAAATTGCATTTTGGCAAATATTTACAAACAAGTGCATGTACATAGRTTTTATGTATATACAAATATATGAAAAAGAAAATATTTGGAAAACAAAGAAAATAAGAATGAYGAAGCATTTCAACAGCATAAATAAAATAACTACAGTGTTTGAACGTAATATACCTACATATATAAAATCGCAGTTGACTTTCATTGATACGATTACTAACATAAAAAGGTGGTTATTGCAGGTAATTTTTTTTCAGAAATACTTTTATTTCAAATCAAATGTTCTAGAATAAATTAGTAGTTTGTAGACGCCTTTATTTTATCAGCCAAAAACAGAAGAATAAGTCTAGATCGCATGACCTATTCGCCAGCAGACACAGTCAATTTTTGGTTGTTGAATGTTATATACTTTATTTAGGCTGGAAGCTTAATAAATTTGTAATCCATAAGGTTTTTTATATGCTTTTCGAATTGCTATGTTCTTTTAAAATTTTTACACSATAGACTTTGACTTGTAAACTAAATTAAATACCTTTGTGACACAGCAAACAATTTGTTATGTTCACTTACTTTAAGTTAAGCGAATATCTCCGCATATTGCTCTAAATTATTTTAATGCGGTTATAATCACAAATTTAAATTCCGTAAATTTTGACACATCAAAGAATATTACTTGAAATTTTCTATTATTCTCTAATTTAACTTTTACTTGCAACTACTAAATTAAGTGATTTGAATTCAAATCAGCTAGCGCCACAGAAATATTCAATAAATTCGGCTYTATCGCAAATTATTGAAATTTCCTGATAATTTATTCGATCGTAAATTGTAGCCTCAAGTAAGAGCAAGTGCAAACTTTTAAATTGAGTGCCAAATATATTGCGCTTCGAAGCAAATAGCCACTGTGAATTCGGGGGAATGCGATTACTGTATGAAAATTGAATCGAATTACAGCTGTGTGAATATTAGGCATTGCTTATATAAGAAGCACTAAGCTGAATGCTGAAATGGTATAAGGAATTCAACAATAGCTTTTGGAGGCACAGTAGGGATATCTGCATTTGGTTCATTGCTGGGCAGATATTGATTATTTGGAAAAGGAAACTATTTTCTAACACAGCACCATTCAAATGGCTGTATTTATTTCTTTATCATCAACTTGGTTTGTATATCTTCGTACTATTGTTTGTTTTGAGATCCCAAATGATCCAAGAATTGCTGGAACACACTTTTGTTTAAAAATAATGCTTCACAAAGAAGTCATAGAAGTGAAATCTGCTGTCTCTAGTATCCACACTCAATGTGGCSTGGATAGATGACAATGGATATGTGCAAGTTCAGTTATGTTAATCGATTTTTGGAATTTCCTGCAGAGTTTGTAYTCGTATCTAGGTGCATACATCGCTGCAGCAACTAAATTTTCAAAATTTTTCGCCGAAGTTTTCGCATCTCTTTCCTCATAAGCAGCGATTGATTTTGTGCGCTTTGCTGCCTCAACACTAGACAGATTTTATCCTTTACACGCACAGACGGCATTGCGACTTTGCCTTCCCCTTGGGATGAAAGAGACACGGACCAAGTAGTCAGCAGACCAACTTTTAAAATATTAAAAACTGTCTAAAGGAGAAACACCAAATAATATTCCAATTGTTGTTAACTATGAGTATGAAAGAGACGATGAAGTTGATGATAATAATGATGGTGATCATSATGATAATGATAACAATGAAAAGTTTGCAAGGAATTTACCAGCCGCCAGCGCACAAAGGAACATCAGCAATTACAACAACAGCAACAGCAAACTTGTTCTCAACTTGGTTGTTAATCTCCGCTGAGATTTGCATACAATTTGGAGTGGACCGCCCAAAACTGCTAAAAGCGACTTGTTTGCTTAGTTTGTATATAAATATTATACATATATGTATAGATATAGATTTTTGTTGTAAGTGAAGTCTTAAAGTGTTTGATTCGATGATAAACGTTTGTAAAACATTCAGCAAGCTGAAAACAAATCAGAAAGGAATAGGTTAGAGCAAGTCGCATGATTTTTGGCAAAACGAGAACGAGAAGACATACACATAAATAATTCAAAATATTTTGTTTTTCTACAGACTGCTGGACACTGGTTCAAAGCGAAGAAAACAATTTGGCAAATTTGTCAGAATTATAGAAAGCCTTATACTTAGAACTGCTCCGCTTTGGACTAATATTTGAAATTTAAATACTAAAAATTTATCGAAAAATTTTTAGAATCTTTGTTCTGAATCTTCGTTTGAAATTTAAATACTAAAAATTTCTCGAAAAATTCTTAAAATCTTCGTATGAACTTTATATTCAAACACCTTACCTTGGGAAAGCAGTAAATCAAAGCAGTGAGCACAAATTCAGTATGAAGCTCGACATACACACTTACGAAGCTTATAAACAGCTTAATCATTAGAAATACCATACAAATTATTGCTCCATCCTTCCTTGAAATATTCGACACACTGTCTYATACCTTTCAAAAATAATGAAAAATCAAGTCAAAAAACATTTTGCTTTGATAAATTGCCCAACCGAGAGTGAGTGAAAGTGCTCCAAACTATGCAGATTACTTGGAAATTAGTTTTGAGTGGCTCACATATATACCTACATACATATAAATATCAATACATATGAGAAATGAAGTGTACCTGCCATTGCAATACTTTTTTTGAGCGACAGGAGACATGAATCTTCTTTGGCGTTATAGTTCATGTGTGTGGTTGTGTTTGTATTTATGTCCATTAATGTAAAAGTTGTAAGTTTTTCAGCATAAATATAGATTTCTTTTGGGTAAACGGAAAGTTATGTCTTGCCACTTATTTGCCAGTCTCAAAGGATATGGTGGAAATGTCTGTGTATGCAAGTATTTTTTTATGTGTGTATGTTTTTTTATACTGTAAGACACGACTAACCACTTTCAAAATTTACTTTCGCACAGATGAATTATTTGCTTTTCTTTTTTATACTCTGCACAGGGTATATAAATTTTGCCACGACCTTTGTAACACCCAGAAGGAATATCGAGACTTTGTACACAAACAAATATACCTCAACTAGTCTGTTAGTTTTCGAGATATTGATCTAAAATTTTACCAATATTCTTTACTCTGCACAAAACTGGCTGTTTGTACAAACCGCCGTTATCGGAGCACTTTAGCATATAGCTTCCATATAAACTGAACTATCAAACTCTAATCCTTGTATGGAAAGCTTTTTAATTTGAGAAGTTATCGACACGAAATTTGGCACCGATTTTTGCCAAAGTCAACCGTACCATATTGGAAGAAATTTTCAAAAACGCATTACTGTATCATATTATATAGCTGMAATAAAAACTGAATGATCAAAGTCAAGTTTTTGTATGGAGACTTTTRTATTTTTGAATAAAARTCTTYAACTTCGGTTG